AGCATTACACTTAACTGAACTGTTAACATGAGCCTAGAGAAGAGGTGGAGAACTACAGCAAGGGAAGATGTTGGTGGGAAAGGGCTTAGAAAGGGTAAGTTCATTTTGCTAAGGGACAGAAAGAGTAGGTAACAAACATATCTGGAGAAAGGTTGATAATGTGCTAGAAGAAAAAAATATTTGCAGCAGAGTAAGGCACTAAGGTGTGAAAATTTGACCAATGGACAAGGAGGATAAATTTTCTGCTACAGGAGAATGCATAGCTGAGGAAAAAACTGATTGAGAGTGAGCAGGACGGAAGAACTTTGAGAACACAGAAAATGCAAAGGGCCTCTTGCAACAAAAACAAAACTTGGAGTAAAAAAACAGACAGACCTGAGAATTCAGGGAACTGAGCAGGGTAAGAAGACTTAGGAGAAAATGACAGTGCTAATTTCAGGAGCAGCTGGAATGACAGCATGCAGAAGTTGGAAATTATTTGGAAGAAAGCAGAAAAGGTACAAGCTGAGGAAATTGCTAGTAAATTTGAAATAAATGGAAAAGACAAAAAATAGCAGCATGAAAGAAGGAAAATTTGATTAATCTTCCTCTTCTTACCAAGGATAGCTTTGGGACAACAGCACAAAACCATTTGTGAGCAATTTGGCAAAAGGAACACATTACAGGAACATGGCAAGGAAAGAACAGTCAATGGTGAACATGGTGCAGAACTAGAACACTTTTAGAGGATTTTAGAAAATTTGTGCGATTGATGTTCAAACAGAATGAAAATGAAGGTACAAGACTTGGGAGGAAAAGTACTGGGAGATAGAAAATTGGGAATGAGGGCTATATAGAGGAAAAGAAAACATAATCATGTAGGCAGACAAATACATGGTAACTAACCAGATAGAGAAGAAAATTCAGCGGAAATAAGAAAGTAAAAGCGGCAGTAAATGTCATTGTTCTAGTGCTTAGGAAGAGGTCTGTTAACAAAACAGTATATAAAAGTCAAACATTATCTTTGTATGGTACCTTTTTGTGTGGGATGAGGGGGTCTTGGGAAACCGGATTGGGAGCTAGGCATAGGCATCTAGTGAACCTACAATATGTATGGAGAAGAGGATAATCTGCTTTATTATTATTTAAAACAGAAGCAAAGAAAACATTTAAAACCAGTGTCTTCACCAGTTCCTGATAGCTTAGTATCTCTTTCTACTGCTCAAAAAAATACATAAGTACATCTGAGACTCAAATTTGAATTATTTATTATGATTATTTGTTAACATTGTATGGATATTGCAGCAAACTGTTATCTACTCAGTATTTAAAAAACTCAAACACAACCCTAAAATACCCTGCATTGCTTCTTTTCATAGTTTTGTATTCAAATTCCTTTTTATTATTGCTCCCATTTTACAAAAGATTTACATGCACTAAAAGTGAATCTAAATGAGTGCTACACAAAGAAAAAATAGAACAGAACATACCCCCTTATTGACAAATGCAATTATCTTCTATGCTTAAATTAGTTCTATTCCTTACTCTTCAAAGTGATACTTAAAAATAGTAACATTAGATATAACTTCAAGTTGACAAGTATCCATTTATTTATAATAAATAGTAAACAAAATCTTTAGTTTTAATTATGATTTTCTTGCATAATTTTTTCTTAAATGCTGAAATTACACTTTGTATTTCAATTATATCACTTCCCTACAGAGCACTGAAGCTTTCCTACCTTTATTTGCTTAGTTATAAAACTACATAGCATGCTCAACACAGTAAATTGAAAAATGATTGTGGATAAAAAGACTATTACCCCAGGCATGCTTAGATACTGAGACACAGAGATCTTTTTGAGAGGAATAAGAAAATATTTCGCCAGTAAGAATTTTTTCCCCAGAACCTGAAAGATGTAAGAGGTGCTATTATATGTTTCATTATGGAATATACTGTATATAGAGTAACAGAATATAATAAATATTTGTATATGATATTTCTTCTATAGTGCATACCAAAGAACACAAAACATCATTTACAAATAAAATATGAGGACACAATTGAAATTTTGTATAATTGTGACAATATAGTCTTTGTTGCTCCAAACAAAATCCAGGAAAGTACTGGAAAATGTTTCAACCACTGGAAAGCTTTTGCAGAGTTTTGCAGATAAAGGGCCCCATCTGTACTGAGCATGCTTTATTCCAGTGCTTCAGCAATGAAGTGGTTTTTCCCCTGCAATTCTTTCTCCTCACTCCTGCCTACAATTGTCATGCTAAATACTGAAATTGGAACAGAATGCTCGAAGTGCTTCCCTCCCTGATATCCAGGCAGGTACACAAAAAGAAACAGCAATGTACTGAAACCAGTAGGGAATGTGAGCCTGAGCAGGGAGACGGGGGAAGCAGACAGTGCAGATGGAGATGGGGTTTGCAACAGGGAATATCAATGCAGCTCTTGAAACAACTGGGTAAGGGGAGGAGGCAACAAGAAGGGTCAGACAGAGCCAGGGGGTCATGGAGAGAGAAAAACTTGAAATCAAGGAAATAATCAGGGTGGCATGAAACTAAGTTCAGAAGAGAATGACAGAAGAATGAGAAGTTGAGGGGAAAAGAAAAGCAATGTAACGTAGAGCAAGGAGAAGTACTGCATTAGCAATTGACAAAAGGTAGGATTGGAGGGAGGGGGAAAAAAGAAGAAGGAACTGGGACAGATACACAGGGATGCATAGCAAGGGAGACGCAAGAAAAGGGAATTTATGGTGAAAGGAAATCCTCCTTCCAATATTGGAAATGAACATAGAGTCCTGACATTTGGCATTACTTGCCTGCTATTAACTGTTTCTTAAACTATTTCTGAAGCCTGTCACCCTATAATGACTGATTTACATTGACAATATGTTCCTATAGTTACATTTGTCTTGTAGGGTTACATATTTCAGTAGATCTGAAAGTTCTGAACTGCTGTATGATGCTTGAGCTGAATACATTAAACTGAAAGACACGAAAACTGTATTTCTTGCTGCTTCTTTCCTTTTTCTTAAAAACCCTCTGCTTTAGTTATATATTAAGAGTACAAAGTAGATACAGGAAATGTCAGAATTAAGGTTGCCTTTGCAATATGATTCTATATCACAATCAGAAAATATCATGGTCCAGTCTTGAACTAAATAATCAACTGTGGATTTTAGTTTTGTTTTTAATGTGTATCACCTGGGACAGATGAATCAAGGAAAAGCCATTACTGGGAATGTCTCCTGTAAATCCTTGATTTCACTTATTGCAAAAATGGCAATATATGAAATGAGCAGAGGATAGCTGGGAAAGAATGCATAGTCGTTGCTCAAAAGCTGAAGTGTTATTCCTATATAGTTTGGGATAAATCCTTTAGAATACATGCTCTCAAATTTGTGTTACTCATATTATAAATATCCAACTTTATATTTCAGCCTATGAGCAAGACTGAATTCAACAGGAACAGTTATTTGATTACACCTGCATGCTTCTGCCAAAAATGCAAATTATCCTAAAAAATTAGGTCCTTGATACTTGACAGTTAAGCATTATGTCATCTTAATCTGTATTTGACTCTGTTTCCCAGCTATCAAATTGGAATTCTTCAAATTTCACTTCCTTGCAAGAATGCTCTGAAGATGGAGCAATTAATATTTGCAATGAGTACAAGTACTGCAGCAACCGGTGCAGCAGCACGGCCTCCCAAGAAACTAGAAGTCTGTTTTAGCATCAAAAGAAGTAACAAAGTGTCTGGATTATAACAAAATGAAATAATGGCTGAATTCTTACCAAATTAATTATATGAAATGCTTTGAATAATGTTCATATTTTACAGGAAGGAAGGCAGGATTCTGGGGTAACAGACTTCATAACATGTATTCACTTCCCAGGCAACATTTAGTCTGGCATATTCCAACTTCTGTGTTATTGACTCTGCAGACAAAACTTGCTTTAAATGTCTTTGTTTATATATGCATGTTTGTCTTTCATAAGAACTTATTGCATCTTTGGTATTTGTTTATATGTTCAGTCCATTAAAAGCTTCTTGATTTTTTTATTTTGTTGTTACAGCCTCCTTGTGGCACATCAGTAACAACTCCTTGGAAGTTAGGAAATGTGATTAAATAACACACAGAAGATGTCAAATGATACTGTTAGGATGATTGACTTCAAAATGCAAAATAAAGGCAATTGAGTGTGATTACTGGAGCTAATCCTTTTAGGCTTGCCTCTGAAAAATGCACCTTCATTTACCATTGAAAACAATTGCTATTTTTATTGCTTAGTATTCATGTAGGTAGATTTAGCCTCTTGATAAGAAAAGATATTATAACATAAATACTATCTTCAAAATTTGTTCTTTACTAATATATTAATGTTTGCAATGTATATATACATTTAGATTCACAGGGGAAGTAATATGGCTCTCTTTAGTATTTCACGTATAATTTACTCAGCAGATTTGTTTTATTAAAATGTAAATAATGGGATGTGGTAAATGAAAATTCCAAGATGGGAATAAACAGCTTATTTATTGTTAATGCTCAGAGTAGCTTATTGAAACACACCTTTCAGTAACTGCCACTGACTATTAGCTATGAAATTCTCATCATGCCTTGAATGTTGCCCATTAGGTTTAGCCATTTGTACAGTTAAAAGGCTCAAGATGTTTCAAATATACCTTTAAAAACATTATTAACTCAAATCAAACTACACATATTCACAAAAACTGCATTCAGCATGTCTGAGATTCAGACCAAAACTGCTTCAAATTAATTATTCTTCTTTAATTGCTCTGTATAAACAAAAATGACCTATTAATTTAAATAAAATCTATCAGCACAGAATGTATTCTCTCTTATAAACAAGCAAGATGAACTTGACCTTGTTTGAACTTGTTTTGATGTGGCCCAGATGGTAGGCTACATGCTTGAATAGCAGTCTAAAGCTGAGGAAAAACTCATATAGCAAGATCTAGATTTATAGCCTTTTGCAAATTCCTACCTTGTATTGTCCTTTCAGCATCTGTTCTGCCCCCGCTGCGGTCAGCTTCTATCTCTGGGGTCAGAGAGTCTAGAAAGATAGAAAGGTAAGACTGACACATATTTCATTTGATTCTTATAGCCCTTTTTACAACCTGTTACTCCAGTGCTGAATTACAATACAATCAACCTTTGTCAGTTTTTTTAATGTTGAACAATGACTGGAGGCCAGGACAATTTTTTGTTAGACTGGGAAGATTAATGAGCAATAGATTTTTCAAGCATAAAGGGGGGGGAGAAAAAAAGGAAGAAAAAAATTGACTTCTCAAGGTAATAATATAAAATTGTCCTAGTTTGAACATTCTCTCTAGTGAGTTTATTTGCACATACTATATAAAGTAACAAAGCAAAAAAGATAGAGGTATCATTTGAATGAAGGAAAGAAAAAAGATTTTCCTTTTTCTACCCTCTCCATCATGTTATAAATTTTTAATATAATAAGATTCTTTTGGCACTTAAATTGAAAGTTAATGGCACAGAGGCAAAAACTGGCTTCTTACCATTTAGGACCCTGAGACTATCTGTTGAAGCTGCCTGTTTCAGTGTTTGCTCTGCTTGCTCTCGTCGTTTAGTCTCAAATTCAAGTGCTTCCTGCAATTTCCTCTTTGCCTTCTTTTCCTTCTTTAGCCTTTTCTGAATTATTGCTGTGAAAGGAAAATAACATCAGTGCACTCCAGTTTGGATCTGAAACTTGGCTGCACAATGACCTATTAAGGGTCCTGAGAAACACTATAACTGAGATGTCCATATAAACCGATTAATTACACAATAACCAGCTAAATTACTTGAAATTTGTTGGAATCACCCTGGAATATTCTAATTGCTACTGTTCTATATGACAGTATTGAAAACTGTATGTGGTACCAAGCAATGACTTTTTTTTTTTTTTTTTTAATAAACAGCTGAGAATCTGTGAATTTTCAAATCAGAAAACCTCAGAAACCAGCAATGAAATGTAATTTTTGAATAATCTGAAATAGATAAACCCCTGTCTCTGGAGGTGAGGGGGTTTTCAGAATTAATTTCACCATTTCTATTTCTCATAGCACAGTTAACAGACACACAGTGATGGAGTTCTTGCCTCCCTTCAGCTTCTCTTGCATAAGAGGGGGATCCATCTGCCTGGATCCTGGGTAGCCTGCTCTGGTCCTCATTTCTTGGGTAAGGCCCTGAGTCTTCTAACTCCCCTCCAAGCTCTGCTTCCTGCAAGCCATCTGATCTCTTGGTGCTCTCTTCCCCATATTTACTTCTTTTCCACATTTCCATTGTGTCTTTCCCTTTTCTCTTTCTTGCTTTCTGTTGGTGCCTGTCCCATCAGCCATATAACCTTGAAGAACTCATAGCAAGTCCTTTATGGTGCTGGATTCTCCAGTCAAGTAAATATTAATATGCTTTGTCAAATGTGGGGGGAAATGTTAGTAAAGAAATTAGTATTTTGAAATAAAATATAGAAAGTTCTTATGTAGAAAAAAATGTTTTTCTTTAATTTCTTCAGCTTAAACTCTTTAGGAAAAGGATGGCATGTCCAGTATGGGACTTCATCACTATTTTCTTTTCTGTGTTACCTGTGACTTACAACCACAAAGGTAAGACTTGTAGGATCCCTAACTAAAGGAATATATTACAAGTTATGCTCCTGATGGGAAAAAGTGAAGTCAACCAATTTTTCTACTCCATTAAAACCAAAGTGGATCTCTGAAGCAATCATGTAAAGTTGTAAAGCATAGCATTATCTCCTCCACCACACCCCAAACTGTTCTTATATAGCACATTTAGGGTTTTCATGGATGTGAACACAAAAAGCTTCTTGTCCTAAGATCTTCCTGGATAATCCTTTCCAGGAGATTCTGTTATTTTGACACTAACTAAAAAATTAATACTAAAGAATTATTACATGCACCAGAAGAATTATCCTTACCAAATCTAGATACCAGGAACTGTTAGGTTTGCATGTTGAGATCTATCTAGCTCTTTATCTCACTGCAAAGTAACCTCTGGTATATGCCTAGGAATGAATGCTGGAAAATACAAAAAATTCTTCCACCAGTTCATACTCCCCAGGGACAGTGGACTGTGATGGTGGTATTATTCACAAAATGCAAATAATGAAACTTTTAAAGGGAACTGTCATTGTTATTACCCTTTCATTCATATGCTAAGAACCATCTTTTAGATGATCTTGTATATTTTGTGCTGCTATACAGAACTGTTCAGGCACAAAATTAACATAAGCACATCTCCTGTAGTCAGAATAACTACATAATTTACATCCAAGACTTTGGAATTTTGGTTCTTTCTCATTTTGTACAACACCAACTACTTTACAGGCTAATTAGCGAATACTATCAAAGAACATCTAGCATCTATACAAAGGCTAAACTAAATACATTTTGAATCATTGGATGGTTTTAATGTTTTCATTATAAGTACTTTGAAAGTGATTGCAATAAATGAGAAGGAAACATATGTTGCTTTCTGAATTAAAATGTCATCATGGCTGACACATTGTAGATGTGACTACAGCAGTCAGAGCCAGAATTAGCAAACCCTTACTGTGTAGCTGCTCACAGAAGAGATATTATCCTACTTTCACCAGTTGATGAGACACATCCTACAGCCTTAGGAATCGCTAATTGGAAAATTTAAAAAGAAGGAAGGAAACAGTACAGTAAATAAGCAGCTCTGTAGAACATACAGCAGCAGCCATGAATCCAACAGTCCATAAAGAAGGGCAAAAATATTCATCTACAGCCACTAAACAGAATCATATTTGACTTGCATTAACATGATGAGCAAAAGATAGATAGATGTTGCCTAATGCTGAAGATGCCCTTCACATGAGGGGTGTGACCTGTATGTGACACAGTGGCTTGTGTTTCTATGCTGCAGCTTTTAAGTGTTTTTTCAGTATTGCCATACGGTATCTCTTCACTTAGCAGGGAAGCTGGTACATTTCTCCCTCCTTGCTCATGCTTCCGTTAAGACATGTGAAACCTTCTTTAAGACATGACACTTGCTATTTGAAAAAAACTATTAGTAGGTAAAGGCTCCTATGCATTTTTCTGCCTTTAATTGAAGAATAAAATTTCACAATAATTATAACCTGGCCTTATTTTTTCTCTCTTATTTCGATCTGTTCATTTGAAAGAATAATCCATACTTTTCTTCCTTTTATCCAGCAGTATCCACTAGCAGAGATAGTCATCCTCATTATATTTGGTTTGCTGCATACCACCATTAACTGTTCAAATCCATTCCTCTTTGGTCTGTCTTCCCAGTGCAAGATCATCATTAGAGGGATGAATATACAAAAGCAGGTAATGCATCATGCTGAAAATAATATTGCCAATTATTTCAGTAACCTGAACACAATAAGGGACTATCCCATGTTTTTTTCTGATATACAACTTTGAGTGAAATTCATTTTGCTTAATTTTATCTTTTCAAAACATATATGTCTAGCACAGCCTTGTCAACCTTGTGACCTCTGGAGTTAAAGGGAAGAGAAAGAAGTCTTCAAGGGCAACTGACCCCACCTACCTATCTGAGAACAGGCTATTCAGGTTTCATTTTTAATGGTCCAGAAAGAGAATTTCTATTCATTAAAATGAGATGCTTAATTTGTAGATGGCAAAATTAAAGATCAGATGGGTTCACCCTCAAACCTTTTCTGCTTTGCATGTGATTGTACAACTCTAAAAAGGACACATATTTGAGCAGTCGTGAGAAAGTTGTGAAGACTAACCAAATTACTTTATTCTTTTACCAAATTAATTTAAAAGTGTAAGTAATACAATTGTATTGAGCAGAATGGACCAGTTGGGGACAAAGGGATGACTCATTGCACAGGTGTGATAATTGTTAACAGCAATTGTCTTTCAAAATATACTCTCATAAGTTAAAAAAGGGTAATTAATGATGTGATAGTCCTACCCTTTAATCGGTCAAGGCATGAAACAAGATTACATTATGTACTCACTGCTAGCATGTTAGTTTAAGGCATAATGACATTGGCTGTGAATTCAATTGTTCTTGGGATTCTCTGTTTAGGTGGTTTCCAGAAAATTAAACTGGACAAGACGACACCTGTAACTCTAGCCCTGCAAAAAATACACATCTGACTTGTCATGGTCTGAGCAAAACAGCAAGGGAGTTCCAGAGGTTAACTGTCCTTGCAAAGCAATCAGGCACTATTAAAGGGTGAGACATACAGAGACAGAGAAATGAACACATGAAAAAAGATAGAAACATGCTTGTAATGCAAATAGTTAGGGCAAATCACTCCAAACTGCCTCACCTTCATCATCATTATAATTATTTAAAAATCTCTAACGCATACAGGCTTTACAGTGGGTTGATGTTAATGCCACAAATGCTACTAATGCTTCTGCTTCATCAAGAAAAACCTTCACTGTTACTTCTACAAACATGTATTTTACCTACTATGCATTATAAAGAGCTCATATATTTCCATTATATTTATATTTCCTACATAGATCTTGCCTAAATACGCACTATAAGAACAGAAGAGAGTTCCTAAAAACTTGCAGAGTCCTAAATTTGATACAAATTGTATTAAGTAGCTATCCATTTTCCTAATGATCACAACTTACAAAGGTCTGTTACAGCACATAGGGTATTTATAATTGCCTTTGTATTACTGATGTAACAATATTCAAGAAAAATGTTGAGAAAAGGGAGGGTCCTTGCTCCAAGTCTCATGAAGACCCTATACAAAATTAGGCAGGTTATAAAACATCCCTCATTGCAGTCAGCTGAGACCTAACATGATTTAAGGGAGGTAAAATTTTGATAAAACATAGGTGTTTGATAGAAAATTGTTTCCTAAGGAAATAAATAACAAGGTGTTTATGTCTGCTTATTCAAGGTACCTCTGTTCTTCTGCTCCACAGCCAACTGTTTTTCAAGCGTTTCCCTCAGTTCTCGTTCCCTGAAGAGTTCCATCTTCAGCTCTGTTTTTTCCAGCTGGACTTGTTTCTCTTGAGCTCTGGCATTATCTATAGCAACCTTTAGTAGACCCTGTTCAGAGATAAAGTTGGATATTTGGAGAATGTTAGAACAGCTGACATAACAACTATTGTTATTTTTCCTTGATAGTGATGTAATATTTTAGAAATAAAAAAATTCTGTCAGAGGAACAAAGTTACCAACAGCAATTATTATCAACAGCAATTTTTAACTGGAATTAACTTTTTAACAGGTGGAAAAAAATCTGAAAAAATATGGGAGTCAGCTTTTCTTAGAAAATGCAAACTCACCTCTGATTGTGCATATAACTCATGTGAAAAACATACAGGAATAGGTTTACTCCTCTTAAGAAAAATTGGCAATCTCACAGTCACATCATACACAGAATTCAATTTCTAGTCCAACTCTAGCCAATGGAAATTAGCTAAAGGAGAAAGGCTCTTTTAAAGTCGTGCCTTCTTGCTCCTCATCCTTGTTAATTACTATTAATTTCAAATATTTACAAATATCATTAAGGTTCCACGAACTATAAGTATATTGGGATAGTAAGGAAATGACAGTCACAAAGCAGGTAGACACCTCTGTTTTAACAAGTCTGTTCCTTGATTTGTAGGATTATTATCTCACAGCAGAAAAACAAAAGACAATCATCTCTTGATTTCTTGACCTGAGATGGTGGACACAAACTCTACGTTTCCTCCTGTTGTTAGTGTATCAGGAAATAAAAATTCAGACTATTTTAAGCTTCCTTTGAGAATTTCAACTTCAAAATTCCTTCTTCTTTTGCAAAGAAATTGTATGATCCTGGCACAGCTTACAGCATATTATTAATAATAATAACTAGATAGTTAGGACACAGAGACAGGACACCAAAATATAAGGAGAAATGGAATTGAAATAAATGAACATGCAAATATCCTTTTCCCTTTCCCAAAAGCCTAGCCATCAGGCTCTTGGGTCTACACCCGAATCTCTCCTACAGAAGCTATCATAATAAAGTAGATAATTAAGTGTGGATATTCATACATGAACCTCCATGGATATGTAACTAACTCTCCTATATCCTAGGCAAGACTCCTGATAACCCTAGAGATAATTTGACCCAACAGAGATTTAATTACTGATGTAAAGCAAAACAATGCCAGCTAAAGAGACAGACCACTACTCCCCAGTGGTTTTGCTAGGGAAACATTCAGCTAACAGATATAAGGTTCACACTCAAGACCTGGTTTGAGTACTACAGACATAAAACCATGATGCCCCTCTCCCAAACAAGCTTCCTCATCCCTCAGCCACACTTCCTAAACTGGATTCTGGGTTGCATCTCCCAAAGAAGAATGGAAAAAGAATCAAGTATAATGTTATTTGAGAAATAGAAAAAATATTTTTTGTGAGTGCTTTGTGAGTCTGAACATTTATCCCACTAGTTTTCCCAGTGTCAATGATTGGTGTGAAATTTGTGTCCTTCAAACTCCTCTTTTAGTTATGTTTTCTGAGCCTGTTATTTTCAGTGCTCCTCATCCTTCTTCTTAAATTGTTGCCTCAAATCTTGTCATGTTTAGAGCTTAATGCTCTGTAGCTCTGTTGCACTTCAATCTATTGAAATCCAGAGAAGCTAGAAGAACTCAACACCTTCTGACTGCAAGGCCCAGATGGTCAGCAGAATGGTATGCACTAAATAAGAACTGAACCATGTTTGGAAATATGGTAACAATGATAACACAACAAATGTCCTCACAAATATGTTTAAAGTTTGAGCAGTTTACTTTTTGCTGTTGTAAAATAGCTAAATCACAAAGATCTTTTTGGTTGAATGCTAAACCTGAATGATTACTAAAGAAAAACAAAGAAATCTACCTAGAAAGCTCTAAGTACATATGTAAAGCAAAATACAATTTGAAATATTTGGAAAGTGTTTACGATCTCTTTTTCATAAGTTAATATTAATTTGAATTCTGTTCCTTTTCCATGGCCATATTCTCCTATTTTTGGTGCATTTGAATTAGTAAGAAACTGAAGTAGGAGTTGTTTATCAATACCTGCTTCTGGCTTATGCTTAAACTCTAGTGTATTTTAATCTCCTCCTATTCCTTACTTACTGGAACATGTGATTCATCCAAATCATAAATAAACCAAATCAAGAGAAATTACATGAAAAGTATTTGTTGATGAAAAGTGTATTGTTTGTAAGTTAAAAGCTGCAAACACTGTCTTCCCAAATTCTTAAAATCCATATTGTTTAACAATAAAATCAAGCTGCTAAAGCAACTGCCATCTTTACTCAAATCAACTACATTCATGTACATGTTTCTTCTTCATCAGGAACAAACAATTAGTAACAAATGAAAGAGATCATTACATCAAGTGCCCTTTTAGATCACCCCAATTAAAACTTTAGTTTAGCTGTATTTTAATTCTAAGATACCAAATTCTAATTTTCTGCTCTGATTGCTCTTGTTGACTTATCTTTGAAAGATGTACTCTCGGTGCAAAGCCTAGAGATTATTTAGCAAGATGCCAATGTTGGCATCACTTAATGTGTTGATTGGTTGTATTATCAGTAGCAGTTTAAAATAAATTACTATTAAACTATTATTGTCCTTGGCTGAGAAAACACAATATTTTGGTGTTCTTTAAATATGAAACAATCATTATGAATAAACATGGAGAATAACACTAGAGTGTAACACTGATGTGCATAATTTTATATTATGAATTGCTGCAAAGTATGAAGCTGCTAAAAGAATATTACATTTTCTACTGAGTTTCTGCACCACACTTCCTCCCCCAGCCTTTCCTTTTTTTTATACTTGCTAACATAGCTAATGGTAATACATTACCTATTGCTGCTGATTATGTCTGAAAAATATTAGCTTTTTGGAGCCAAGATTCACTAGGGACTACTTATAAGCTACACAAAATTAAGTTTCATTTTTAGAAGTTAAATCAGTGCACATCAGTAGGCATCCAATGTGAAAAAAAAATCTGCACTAGAGCCAAACTGATGCATATAAAAAGTGCTGTTACTGCCAATGACAGCACTAATGCAAAAATACTGAAAACATTTAATATCTCCCTTTATTCAGTGCAGAAGAGGCTGAGAAAAAATAAAAAAGTACAACATCTAAAAAATCACCAGTGCCCCCTGGAACAGGAATAACAATTTCAGAGTTGCATGAAATTCTATTAATTCTCCCAGTGGAACAGCTGTAGAAGATTATACAAAATGCAGTATGTCCAACGTGTATGTGCTACAGCTAATCCTCTAACCTGATATTAAATCAATATGCTGCCAATGACAATGGGAAATGCAGTGCAACACAGGACATTAACAAAAAGAAAATATTTCTCTTTAGGGAAGGTCAGATGTTATGAAGACTGGATAATGATAATTGCAGTGAACATGCTCAGGTTCCAGATTTGTTTTTAATACAGTATGGCTCTATCTAGAGTCTGGCTTTAAGCACAGCAGGCCATTCTTCTCAGTGTCTCTCTTAATTTTTATTTCAATGTAATGCCAAAAATGGACATTTCATTCCATGGAGATTTATAGATCATTCTGATTTGTTTACTTCACTGTACTTGTTTTAGTATTTTCACTGACAAATCCTTTAGAGCTGTCCCAAACAAAATGCTAAGTTGATATATGAGTTTGTTCGCATTCTCTGATCAGAGAACACCTCATATAAAGGCAGCCTCATGATCCTACAGAAACTAAACATACATCAAACCTCAACTCAGTCTTAAAACCAGTAATACTCATCACTATTTTTAAATTATGCAAATAATGTGTTGGCTACTTTTAAAGGGGTGGAGGGGAAGGTGTACAGAAGCTCCTTCTCTTTCTAGCTGTATCTATAAGTGTGTGTTCCACCTAACAGAATTTAGTTGGCTACACATTTATATGTGACATTAAAATGACCTTGCTAATTAGTTTGACAATCTGTCTAGAAGATCATATCCTGTTTCCAACAACTGCCCACACTGAGTGAAAAAGGGAAACTAGAAGATCAGGACATGAACATTAGGAAGTTTTCCTATTCAAAACTCCTGGCTTCCAGAGGGTTGCAGTTCAGGGGCTTCTTTCTGCAGTATTAGCTATTCATGGGGAAAACACTTTCAAATAACATTGCTTCTCTTTTAGTAAGGAAAATACATATAATTTATATGCTGTCATCATTAAAAGTATATAGTGAAAGGCTCTAGAAAAATATATATACATACAATTCTAGTTAACTTCTCATGTTAATTTTTGAATATCTGCTATTTATAACTGACTAGTGACTAAGTACTGTGAACAAGACAAAATGGTTAAAATATCTCCAGAGATGACTCCGGAAAGTCAACTTTTTTAATATCTCAGATTGCATACTTTATCATAGATAAAGGCATATTACACAAGTATAACTTATATTTTCCATTAATACTTTCTGTGAAAAAATAAAACTATTCTCTTGAATTTTAGCAAAAGATAGATAAAACAACATGAAGTAAAACTGGGATTTTTTTTACTTTATCCACTGCTTGCAGTGTTATTCCCTTAGTATTTAGTGATAGACAGTAACAGTGCAGGAGATTCACAGCAATAAAGCTAGTAGTTTTCTTTGTTTTCAGAGGGGAATTTAGTTTGCAACCATGCTTCTATTAATATCAATGGGAAACTTGTAAATTATTTTAGGTATCTCTTTAAAAATATTTAGCAATAAAAAAAGAGTCAATATAATATAGTCTTGATAGAAAAAATACAGGTATCATGGTGCAACTATATAATCCCTTAGATATTTATGGAAATTCAGCTCAGGGACAGTAGAGATTCAGACTCTAAAAGCTTGAAAGAACATTACTATTACCCAAGAATATTGTAGCATCATGAAAGGCCACGGCTGTAACACACTTTGGCATAATCAGGCCATGACTCAAAAAGGTAAACTTATGTGAGGGGTATGGAGACATCTTTAGCCTTCTCACTAGCACATACACAGCACTTTGCTGTGACTCACTTTCCCCCACCCTTCATCGTCCCTGCAACTGCGCTTAGACTTCCAGCATTTGACCCAGAAGAAATCTACATATCCAGTTTGAGAAAAAACAGACATATCACTTGATTTAAGTTCTCTGGGGAAATTTATTTTCTCTTCCTTTTAGATGTGCAGATATAAATCCAAATTAGAAAATATATTCCCAATATTATTCCATTTTTTAATGTGTATATTTTCTTAATTATATTTTTTTTAGGGTTTATTATTTGTATTTCAGCAGTCCCCAGCAAGAACAACACTGGTTATTTCAAGTATTGTATATTGTTATTATCTCCTGTTTAAATAAATTATTAAATACTGTATTTTGCTTAAAGAAATATTTATGGAGAAGTAAAAATAACCCCATACATATGGTGTACAGAAAGACATACTGGTGACAGCAGAAGCAAATTGGCTAGCTTAATATTTGCCTAAAATTATGAATTTGTGATTGGGCCTATCCATGTAACTTCAATATGGATAGAAGAAAGAGACTCACTTTTGCTCAGAAGTAATTTCTAAAAAATGACTCAGACTACTAAAACAGGATTACAGTTAGGCAACAAGTTCAGCTGAGCTCATCAGCATTGCCAGGACTTCAAGCACATTTGTTTTCAAATAACAAAATGTTTAGAAATTTCATTCACACACCCAAAAAGCACTGTTACAATGACAAGATTTAGGATCCTTTTTACCCTGTCTCAGGTCAAAATTAGAGCTCCTAGTGTTCATATAACACCCTAATCCTGTTCTAGGTCTGTATTATTCTGATCCTGCAGATCCTGCACCACAGAAGGGGATCATGGCAGAGACATCCACTGTCAAGTCCATGCAATTTGGTGCAGCCAGAAGCTCCTTGCTTGTATATTCCTGTGATGATCACATCCCAAAAATCGATACTACCTCCAGTGCAATATGTGGTAGCTGAGGGTGCTCCCCAGAGCCATGACCTAACAAAAAATGTAGACTCGCATTTCACAAGCAGACATATACTCTTTCAGTGAAAGGACACATGCCTATTTTCAGCATGAATGACCCTGATGAAAAAAGAGCAGTGTTTACCAGATCCACTCGTGAAGCCATTGGCAATCTATTTGAGGAAGTTAGACCTGCTCCACTGCAGCAAGAAGAGAACAGTGAGGGATCACACTGCTCCACCTCCCCATGGAAACCACATCTCTACTGACAGGGATGCAAAACACATCAGGTTCAAAGGAGAGTAAGGAGCCATTGACTCAGTAAAAAGAGTCCTTCTAATTCAGGTAATAAATGCATCATGGGTTTCAGGTACGGTTTATGCATTTCCTAGCAAAGTCACAAATCACAGTGCAATCAGGGACCATGGTACAAAATTGCCTCTTCCCACAGATGCCATCAACAAATTTGAACTTGTAATCACATACCTAAAACTCTGTTCTGGAAGTGTCAGCATCACAGTATCTAACTCATTTGTGGGCATGGGGTGACCCCCTCTCATTGTAATAGCAATGAAATAGCAATATGGAAACCATTTTAAATGGCATTGATTAACAAAACTGCCACTATTGTCCATATGATATTGTAATATACTTTACTGCTGTTAAAGTCAATTTTTCCTATACAGATGGGAAAATCAACTAATTTTATTTATTTTCTTAATTTATGAAGTGGATTTCTAATGTTGTCCTGATAAAAAACCTGTAGCAGGGGTGAGGGAGGGAAATGCCTTTCATATACTGTTATGAAAGGATTACAGGAAATCTGTCAAAACTATGTATTGTGATGTGGGGACATACTGAAAAAATTCAGAAGGACTTATGTCCCACCACTTTCCACTGATAGATGACTTGTCATGATAGGGAATCTCAACGTAAGGAGCAGGACGTTCAAAAGTGCTACAAGAGAAGGCATAAAAAATTTCTGGTTTGTTTATGATGTTGTCTTTTATTTTACCTTTTCATTCCAGGTAAGATTAGAGTATTAAAAAAAAAAAAAAAAGTAATGACTGAATTTCACATTCACAGTTTCTGTAAAACAAAACTGAATGCATTCTTGGCAAATTAATCCTGGTCATTTATCTTGAAGTAGTGCAGCACCCTCATATTCACTCACGAATCAGCTAACCTGTTGATGCTGAATGCTTTGCTCATTAGGTTGCCGTCTAGAGACACTGAGTGCAAACATTTGTCAAAACAATTACTAAGAACTTTTCTGTACATGTATGCACAGCTAAAAATGTACTAACTGTATTTCTGCTTTAAGAAAAAAAATACAATCTTTACAGATTGCAGCAGATACATTACAAGAATGCTGCTATCAAGTTATCTTGATTCATGATTTAAATGTTTAAGATGCTAAATCTCATAATTGCAAAAAGTAATTATAAATATGCTTTTTCAGACGAGGCAGAGATAGTAATATTTACTTCCTAAATAGCAGTATTTTTCCATTATTAGACTCAAAACACAACTAATGAATGGCTCATATACTTTTCATAAAACAATTCTGAAGTGCCATAAACTTTAATGAGATTGCTTCAGACAGTAAAGTGAGCAGGATTTGGCCCTGCTCCGTCATATCCTTCGCTGCATAGAATACAATTGATTTTATGAGTTTGCAGGAATGAGCAGAAAATATATGGTGACAAATTGGAAGTTGGTAGCTGCCCAGACAAGGCTTCTCTGGAATGTGTAATATGGCTGTATTATTTCTGGCACTATCATTTTGCTTCTGCATGCAACAATACAACCATACTGTTGCAAAATTTGTGTATGGGAAACACAAGACAACTGAATTTGTGGACAAAAAAAAATTCGTAATTCTAATATGAAACACTAGCAATTTGGCTTCAAGCTATACATAGTGTACACTATAAATAATATTTGAACACGGCTTTACTGTACACACAACAGACACTGTAACTACCAAATAGGAAATCTGTATAAAATTTGGTAATAGCCTTTGAAGTCTATTCTTTGAAGACAGTACTTTAAGTGAAATGAGCTTATTTATAAGTGCTTTTTGTAAATGCTTTTATGGCAGACACATTTCAAATAGCTTTAAATATCATTTCCACCATGCCACTCTAGCAATTTGAAATAACTATTTATTAAAGAACTCTTTGTCTGTTTAGTAAATGAGATAAAGTTAAACAGTAAGATACATTTCATTAGCCTGTAATAAAAAGAGCATTGAAGACAAATGTTGTTAAACACACCAATGTAATTTACATTGAATTTTCTGCTGTGGTTTAATATACAATCTGTATTTTTATGTACTGTATCTGACAGCTTCTAAATTCATTTGTTTGCTGTGGTTCCTTTAAAACCTAAATTACAGAAAAGTTTCAGTAAATTACTTGATCCAAATAATCTTATGAACTGATTAAGCTAGAATGGTTTTATTAATTTAGACAAAACTGGCTCCTCTCCATCCCTTTAAGCCGATCTATGAAAAGGCCTACCTGGATGTTAGTCAGAAGGGTCTCTATGGAGGACAATCCATCAGGGAATAGAAAAGGAGATGGAAAACCCGGAGGTAGTGGTTGCCCATGCCCAGTTAGAGAAAGTTTGTCAAGGCTGTCTCTTGCGGTTGGTGTGGAGAGCGGGGTCTCATCTGTATGTGATTGAAACAAAAATATAGAACAAGTTACGCTTGTCTGTTTTTATTAGACCTCAGTAATGGCTTCCCTAGTGGTTTCCAGAACATTTATTGCAAATTGGTTCCTGCTATCAGGAGAAAATGCTTTCTGCTGAATTTTCTTTAATGAAAAAGCTGTGGAGATACAACAAGATAACATTAATGAGTAACTTTATAAGCCTTTTAAATGCAGTCTCTAATGAGACTGAGTTTACAGTGCCATAGAATCTTTTTAAAACAAATATTATCTCACATATACTTGTGATAATATATTCAGGCTGACTTTATGGGCACCTTCCCAATTATCTCATTTTAGTTTGTGTTCTATTTGGATTGACAATAGAATATTTTCTAGCATGACATATATTTTGTATATGAGAAGTATTTAAATACGACGCTTCCCATACAATTAACCCTTCCCACTCTTAATGGTTTCACTTACAGCTCAGAAGATTTTGCAACACCAAGAAAAGCTCCTCAATACATTTTTCATCAAGAAAATACACCTGACTGCCACAATTAAAGCATGCTCTAAACAGTACATGAAATTAATAGCACAGTAACAATCACTGGCCTGATTTTTTTTTTTTAAGCATGGACATCTTCTAACAATTAGTGTTGAACTCCTTAGTGGGATCTTTGTAAAAATCAGATCTGATCGCTTCTGACACCATAACGGGAAAAAACTTGCACAGCTTTAAGACTTCTAAGATTAAAGTTTCACAGATAATCTGTGAACAGATTAAGTGGAAAAAAAAAAACCAACCCACCCATCCCACAATTAATAGAAACTTCAACAACCTCATTTGTGGTTTTTTTTCAAATTTTTTTTCTTTTTACTTTCTGGAATATTTGTAGGCTACTGTTGATATGATAGAGAAATTTAGGTCAATTTCTTTGCACCAGATGTTAATCTGAATTCTTCAAAAGGAAAACTATCTATACATATACATATATATATATATATATATATATATATATATATATATATATATATATATATATATATATATATATATATATATATATATATATATATATATATATATATATATATATATATATATATATATATATATATATATATATATATACACACATATATCTATACATACTCTTCTTACCAAGGGCTCAGTCATTAACTTGACACATACTGATGCATCTCAGTACAATGCAAGGATATCAGAATGTAACCCGGGTATCACACAGATTCTGCACAGCTGTATGACTACAAAGGAGTTTGTCAGACTCACTATCTTCCATTTTGGCTTTGGCCTTTGTAAGTTACGTATCTTTTGGGGTAGTCAAATTTCTCTTTCTTTCTTTATTTATTTATTTAATTTTAGTTTCAATAATGGTTGTACTTCTCGCTTTACTTTATCAGGTATATTAAAATCATATCTGAAAGTTGATCCCAGTTGCCTAAAAAGAGCTCTCTCTTGGACTGAATGCAGTATTTTCCTAAGTGGACCACAAGTCTAGGACCACAAGAATTGAAATCTGCAGTAACAAAAGGTTAGAGCATTGATGACTGCAGGATGGGACATTCATAACTCAAAGTCCCAGCTCATTCCAACAGTCCCCATCACTATTCCTACAGATAGAAGCAACCTCTATCAACCACACTCAGATGCAGATTTCTTGTCCCATCTCCTCACCAGCTCTGTCATGCTGGCCAGTATTTACAGTGCTAAAGTAATAGCTTTTCCTACTATGTCCTTCCACAGAACTACCCAAACAGATTTGGACATCTGCTGCTGGGCTGGTCCCACTCAGGTCTTTTATAGCCAGTGGAAAGAAGCAGAGACTACTTCAAAGTCCATCTGAACTCTCACAGGCATCAACTGCAGGAAGAGGCAAATCTTCCTCTCGAAGATTTCTGCCTGTTGACTGTAAGAGAAACCTAAGATGACCACCTCAGATGGAAAGATCTGTTTTTGGGGAGATCCTATACTGGGTTCTGTTCTTCCTACTTCTCTGTGGCCCAGGCGGAGGACAGACTACACAAGGAGGAAGACTGCTCCTTATGCCCTGTTTGTCACAGTTCATGTCACAATTACTGCTTTCTCATAAAGTCATCATTCAAAAGTTTTCCAAGTTGAAGTTCCTGAAAGAAATTAATGTTGACCAAGGAAAGCTTCAGACCTTTCAGATCATAAAGGATTTTTTCACCTATGTTTAAATTTTCCAGTCATGCTACAGAGTGCTGAGAAAAAACTGGCTCTAGATTGCTGAACCATTCCCTATCTATGTTACTGAGATTCAAAGCAGGCTTTGAAAAACATGCTATGTGGATATGTCCTCTGTACTCATGATACCCCACAGCAGCATGAATAGCTCTGTAGTCATTTTGTAGTAACATACTAAAATTTGGCTCTACATACGACTATTTTATTTCCAATTTTAAAATATCATAGAAATATTCACCACATCATTTAAAAAAAGAATTATATGTTCCTGGTATTGAAAACTAGCTTAGTTCAACTTCTCCACTCCTATTCTAGTGTGAAGAATCATTAGCAAGTGGTTTATTCCAAACTGCTGCCAGAATTGTTATGCTTTCATTAATCAAAAGTAATAAGCCAAAACTTAAACAAAACTAGTTAGACAGTATATCTATAAACTGTCCATAATATTATTTTATAGCTGAAAACTTTATTCCTCTAGTGAAAATATGGCTTCCCCAAATGATTTTTACCCAAAATTAAGAAACAAAAAAATTTAAAACAAAAACAAACAAATAAACAAACAAAAAAACCCCAAAAACCTCTTCCATGTTACATCCTTAAGTTTTTTTGGGTAGAGATTTCTTTGTATCAGTGGTTGCAGTGAAGGCATTGCTCTTGCATGATATAGCAGGAAAGAGTCGAATCACTCTTATGCATGGTGAAGTTGATTCATATAAATGAGAAAGGAAACTGAAAAGACATAATTTTCCTCTAGGTTTGCCAGGAAAATGGATCAATGACCTCCTACTTTCTAAGACTACTTGGAATCTTACTGATATTTTAGGTCTCAAATTGTCAAAGTATTTTAAGATATACTAGATAAAAGTGACCCACTTAAAATTCTGTAAGCCTTAATTAACTTAAAAACTGCTCTTCCATGCAATGGCTGAAATACAGAAAGCTCCTAACACAGATCTTGTAATATAATTTGAGAAAGGGATCAATTTTTTTACTGTACTACTACTTTACAATTTATTTAATGTTATGCTTGCTGTACTCTGTGCATGCTCAACACATGAAGTTTGCAAAGATTTTTTAACAATGTGGCATGGTTTTGCAATAGGCAAAGAAACTCAGATTAGAATGATATTAATTCAAAGTAACATCCAAACCATTATGCTATAATAAATAACAGAAACAAATTTACACTGAAGGGTAGGACTAGAGACATGAACTTACTCTGAACTTATTTTACTGAAATATCAACTCAGAAACAAAAGTCAGACTAATGTGACTTTGTTTTCTTGATGTCCCATGTGAAATAAACTTTGAGTGTGAGTATGTTTGAAACAGAGCAAATGTACACATTATACACAGGAAGCGTGGATATTTGTGGATGTGAGATAAGTGATGATTGAGGGAATCTTAAAAAAAATGCATTTTTAAGAAAAACCACACTGTAAACACAGCCAATTAAAACACAACTGCATATCTTAGTAGCAAAATAATATAACCTCTTTTTTTAAAAAAATGCAAAAATACTTAATTCCTGCAAAAGTCCTCCTTTCTCTGAGGGATGAGATATCTTTTGTTTCCAAATAATCATTAGCTTAACATCTTTTAAACTGTTGCAAAGGCACTACTAATGCTCCTCTTACATTACCAGCAGAGCAATGCTGCAAAATTATGAGCCCTTGCTGGGAAACAGAGATTTGGTATTTTCAGTCTAAACACATCAAAGGAAGCATTAGAAGAGAAGTCAGGGCAAAAGGGGAAATAGGGTCAATCTACAACTCCATTGTCAGAGTGGGGAGCACAACAATGAAAAGAAAGAGGGGGGAAAAAAGAAAGAACAAGGCAGAACAAAGAAGTCTCCGGGCCTGCCTTGGTTTGTGCTGGGAACCGAGATGTTATAAATTAACAAATAAACAAGGATAGGACAAGCTGTTACCCAAGCCTCTACAGTATCCAGGCAGAGATGAATATGTGTCGTGACATATGAACTAAATCACCATAATAGTCAACTCTGAATGCGACACGTATCTTTAAAATATTTGTAAATGCTACAACGACTCTATCTATTGTTCCTCAATTTCCAAAATTCACCTGGTTTTGTTCAAACCAGATTTTATCTGTAAACAGCAGCTGGTTTGGGCCAAATACAACAAACATATTTCACTGTATTTGGTTTGTTGCCATTCTATTTTATTCTTTCACCAGATAACATGGAAACAGACATCCTGGAAGCTGCGACAGCTATTTAAACAATAATAGATGAATAGAGGTAGCCATTCTCTTGTCTTTGTTCTTAAAAGCAAGTAGGATAAGTTCAGACCAGTCACCAGTCAAACTGGAAAATATTGATATTGCCAGGATTTGAAAGCAAGCAATAATAGCTGGCTGAAAAAAACACTATACAGATTACTGCCATTCTGTAATCATGTCATGCTTTTTTTGCAATGCATCTTGAGGCTTTCTGTTCTCTGCAAAATATTCCATACGTATGTGTTCCTAACACAGGCTCGCACTTACCATTTGAATGATGAAAGAGGATTCTGCTTTCACTTTTTATTACCATAAATCTGGGGCATACATTTTTTTTCTACATTGCAGAAACAATCTATTCCATTTGGCTTAGTATTATTTTGGTTTATGTTGCCAAACGCTCTTTAGTACAAAGCTTTATATTTCACCTTTGTCGCTGTTAGAGGTTTCAAGTGTGAGAAACTTTTCTGTTTTAATTGATCTGTATGTAATTCTTAACACAAAAGGACAAGTGGTTCCCTATTCTCAATTGAAATGTTTAAT